AGAAGCGAATTTGTAAAGCTTCAAATTTGTAAAGCTTCAGCTATTTGTAAAGCTTCCTCAGACAGCCATTTTGCTTTCTTGCATTTCTTTTTCTTTGGGATGGTTTTAGTTGCTACCTCTTGTACAATGTTGTGAATCTCCATCCATAGTTCTTCAGGCACTCTGTCTATCAGATCTAATTCCTTAAATCTATTTGTCACCTCTACTGTATATTCATCAGGGATATGATTTAGGTCATACCTGAGTGGCCTAGTGCTTTTCCCTACTTTCTTCAATTTAAGCCTAAATTTTGCAACAAGAAGCTCATGATCTGAGCCACAGTCAGCTCCTGGTCTAGTTTTTACTGACTGCATAGAGCTTCTCCATCTTTGGGTGCAGAGCACATAGTCGATCTGATTTCTGTGTTGACCGTCTGGTGATGTCCATGTGTAGAGTCGTCTCTTGGGTTGTTGGAAAAGAGTGTTTGCTATGACCATCGTATTCTCTTGACAAAATTCTACCTGCCTGTCCCCTGCTTCATTTTGTACTCCAAGGCCAAACTTGCCTGTTACTCCAGTTATCTTTTGGCTTCCTACTTTAGCATTCCAATCCCCCATGATGATAAGGACATCATTTTTGGGTGTTAATTCTAGAAGGTTTTGTAGGCCTTCATAGAACCGGTCAACTTCAGCTTCTTCAGCACCAGTGGTTGGGGCATAGACTTGGACTACTGTGATGTTGAATGGTTTGCCTTGGATTCGAACTGAGATCAGTCTGTCATTTTGGAGATTGTACCCCGGTACTGCTTTTCCTACTCTTTTATTGAGTATGAAGGCTACTCCATTTCTTCTGAGGGATTCTTGCCCGCAGTAGTATACCTGATGGTCATCTGAATTAAATTCACCCATTCCTGTCCATTTTAGTTCATTGATTCCTAAGATGTCAATGTTCAGTCTTGTCATCTCTTGTTTGACCACATCCAGCTTGCCTTGATTCATGGATCTTACATTCCAGGTTCCTATGGAGTATAGATCTTTGCAGCATTGGACTCTCCTTTCACCACCAGATACATCTGCAACTGAGTGTCCTTTTGGCTTTGACCCAGTTGCTTCATTCTTTCTGGCGCTACTAGTACTAGCCCTCCGCTCTTCCCCAGTAGCAGATTGGACACCTTCCGACCTGAGGGGCTCATCTTCCAGCATCATATCTTTTTGCGTTTTGGTACTGTCCATGGGGTTTTCATGGCAAAGATACTGAGCGGGTTGCCATTTCCTTCTCCAGTGGATCACGTTTTATCAGAGCTCTCTGCTATGACCTGTCCGTCTTGGGTGGCCCTGCACGGCATAGCTCATACCTTCATTGAGCTACGCAAGCTCCTTCACCACAACAAGGCAGTGATCCATGAAGGAGAGCACACAAATAGTCCTTTGCAAATGTTAAGTAGATGAAGCCATAAATTGTGGGATTTGACTAGTTTAGAAGACTACTCTTTTGAACTTTGATGCTTCTCTCCCAGCTTTTTATTAGCTTGCTTACTTTGGATGCAAAGCATTCATGAGTTTGAAGCACCTGAATTTGAGGCACATGGAGGTCATTATCCCTTGCTCCTTTACATGGTAGACTGAGCATGTACATTTTTTTATTATTATTTGATTAGTAATGAATGACAAAACAAGACCCCGAAAATCAGAAGTGTGTATTTTTCCATCCAGGAAAACCCTGCAAAGTTCCAAGGTGCTACAAAAAGAACGTGGAAAAAAACACAAAAATAAAAACAGTAATTTCCCAACTGCAAAGCAGATGCAGATATGCAGAGCTAAGCAGAGCTGAGGGTGAGAGTGAGGACAGCAAGGTAGCTTATTTGCTGTTTTTTAATATATACAAATAATTTCCTTTTTACCCATGGCCCCTATTCCCAGGCTCATTAAATCAAGTTCAGAAAACATTTTGGCTCTGGAACATGTAAGTAAAATTCCTACCATATGGACTCTTGAGGATTACCTGTGTAAATGGCACAAGTCAAGCCAAAACAAGTTTCTGTCAAATGGACTAACACCTAAGTTTATTATGAAGGTACAGTGTTCTGTGTAAGCAGCACAGAAAGCTCTAGCAGTGGGGCTCCAGGCAGTTATCCCGGGGCTGCTTTTTATGCCAGTCACCTTGAGAATTGACTCTCCCCTACATAAAAGTATAGTTTGCATATCACGAATGTTAGAGTTAAAAAAAAACAAAAAACAGACTCGTAGTTCATTTACTCTGTCAACCTGGTAATCTTTTGTCCAGTGATAGTGTTTGCTATGGATTAAACTTCAACATAGCTTTGATTTTTTTGCTATCCTGCTTTTGTCCAACAGCTGCTCCTAAGCTCAGTATCTCAAGCCAGCTTTTAAACTGAGAAAAACTGAGACTTGAGCTTGTGTTGTGGCAGAAGCTGTGAAGATCAAGAAAAGTATTTTTTTTTAAATCAAATATATGCCGTACCTAAAAATAGTGCCCAGGATGACTATTGATGATAAAACACAGAATTATAATGAAAACATAACTACATATTGATCAATATAAATAATAAATATAGTATACACATTCAGCTCTGACAGTGTATAAAGCCACAGGCGTGAACAAGGTGATGTACAGAATGTAGCTTTTGGTACTAGGAATTAATGAATATATAATGAAAACTCATATCTACTTTTCTGAGCAAGATTTTTGGCACCCTGAGGTTTATGTTTAATGCAGTACTATAACTTGAGGCTGTTATTTGCTCTTTGGAAATTATTACATTGTCCTTTGCAGTTAGAATTGAAAAGACATTTATTAAAAATGTACACAGACCCTTCAATTCAGTGATTCCCAAAGTAACCAGGGGGTAGCACCCCCTGAGTGTGGTGGAAAAAGCCAGAGGAGTGGTGAATGGTTTTCAATTAGCAGTAGGGCTAATGCAAAGAAAGACATGGGGGTGCTAGAATTGTCATCCAAGAGAAAAAGGGGAGAGCAGCCTGAAAAATGTTTGAGGACCACTGCTTTAATTCAACATTTTTCAGTAGAACTGCCCAGGAATAAGTTCAGGATTGCTAAAACTGATTTAATCAATGATTTCAAATTGCCTACATGCCATATTTTTGGACTGTGGCTGTCAGTGAGGTTGAGTAAGAAACACTCCAAATTAGGAGTAATTTCATCATCAAACCAAAGCATTATTAAGAAAGCCTATTTATATTTGCAAGGCAGTCCATGTATAATGCATCCCATTAAGCCAGCTGAAATGTTACTGGAGCATCAATAACTGTATCTTGGCTTTCTCTCTTAAGAACATTGCTTAAGTTGATAAAAGGTGCTCCATGTCACCAAGTCCACCTGTGCCTCTAATGGCAATGGTAGCAAGCCAGACTATGAACCAGATCCTTTAGGGGATTACAACACCCTGTCAAACACACAGAATACCGCTCATCTGGGCAGGTGAAACACCTACTAGCAGTACCTCCATCTTGGCTAGGTTGAGTCTCAGTTTATTGCCCTTCACTGGGTTTATTACCATGGAGCAGCCACCACCTCACCTAGATGTGATTTAAAGAGAAAGAGAGCTGGGTATCATTGGCATATTCAGCCCACACCTCCAGATAACCTTTCCCACTGGTTTCATGTAGATGTTGCATGGCATGGGGGATAGAACAGAGACCTGCAGAGCCCATCACACAATGGTAAAGGCAAAGAGTAATAACCTTGCAAAACTGCCTTTGGAAACAGTTATCTAAGTAGAAGTGCAACTATTGCAGTGAAGTCCCTCCAGCTCCCAATCTGGACAGCAAGGGTCAAGCAAACAGTTCATCGGACTTGGGCAAGCATCTTCACAGCCTTGGACTTCAATAATGGAAACTCATTCTATAATACATAGACCAGACAGTGCTTTGGACAGTTCACTGCATTAATTGTGTCCAGTTTATAAAGGATCTGAGCACTTTAATGCCACATGGATTTGCCACAGCATATTACTGAGAATTCCATTGTTTCTTTTAATGGAGTAGGTTGTAGAAGACCTCTAACCACAGAAAAACTCCATTGCTTGACACTGAGAAGTTGCAATGCTGGTGGTGGGTTTCAGTATTAGTTTTCCAGGAGGGGGAAGGGGGGAGGGAGAGAGAGAGATCATTACTGTATTCCACAGAGTGACCTGAGCATTGACAAGCACCCCTGCAATGCCAGTGGGAAAATCTTCTACTGGAATCCATCAGACTTTGGAGCATTTTCAAGGAAAAAGGCTGTTTAAAGCTCAGCTTGAAGTGATCTTACTGTGACAAAGAGTTAGATACCAATTCCCCAAATTTCAAATCACCATCTTTCTTCCCAGTTGAAAAAAAAACCCAAATAAAGTTTCTCTCCTATCACATGCATCGTAACAACTCAGAGATGTGCCTCTAGTACTAACACAGCTGCATTCATTTTATACTACCTATGTTAAGCTGATGGAATAGTTCTTCCAATAATGAAAAAACATTCTTTAAAAAAGTAAATAAATGTGGGATTTATTTTTTAAAATACCACAACAACTCTAAATCTATTAAATGGTAATAGGTGAAATTCCACTTTAGATGTGCAGTGTGTCTTCATGCAAATTAAGCAACTTTTTGGATTGTAATTTGAATGTGAATTAAAACCATTAATTTAGGGAAGAGTACTGGAGATTCCAGAAAAAAATCATAATAAAATAAATACCAGAAACTATAAGGAAGTAACTGTACTCTTTAAGAGCCCTTTTTTTTCTCAGACTTTTCATAGAATTTCAGCAAATTATTTCTTGTTACCCTTCCAAAAGAAAAAGAAAAAAGTCTTTAAACCAACCTCCTGAAACTGCAAAAAATGCTCAGGATTGAACACTGAAATTCCATACAGATTTTGACATACAATATGTTGAGTATTCATTTACAGTGTTGAAGTATGACTTGGAAAGTGTGAGAATGTTCCCCCTTTCAAGTTTCAGCTCTGATTTTTATTTATTTATTTATTTTGGCTCCCCTTATTTCTAGGCCTGTCCCAGGCTCATTATCATCATTATTACACCTGCACAACCGACAAAGACAACCTATGCCTGCTTCCATGCCAGGGACTCTCCCAAATCCTACCATGCCTGGATCCTCAGCAGTTTTGATGCCCGTAAGTACACCCATTGTTTGAACATAAGGAAAGATGACTGTATGGTAGTTTATTAAAATTAAGACATAAAATAGTAATGTAGTTGTAATTTATGGGTCTGTTCCAAGTATTATTTCAGTAACAATGAAATCTAGAACCAAAATACCTGTTATGCTATTCATATAGTGTGTGGCTTGGCGTTAGAGTTCATTTACTCTAGTGTAAGCATTCACAGCCCCAGTTCAGATTGGCACCTCCACAGACCCTCTTCCATTTTTTCTAAAGTTTATGAAAGAATAAAAACTTCCATTAATGCCAATGGAGAATTTTGAGTAAAAAATGGTAGATGGAGCTTTTAATCTTTCTCTCCTGGTGGATCATGGTCCTGATCTGAGTCAAAGTCATCCATGCTTACAGTAGAAAAAATTAAAAGTTAACCTTCCATGCAAATCTGTGTAACAGATAGTTGGTCCCTTTATAGGAACTGGGCAAAATGAATTACCGAAGGCTTATGTAAGATTTTGCACTGACCTTGTAGAATCTTTGACTTCGAACAGATGGCCTCCTGTACCACCTCACAAATTGTTCTGGACCATCTAGTCCCTTTCAAAAGAAGATTGCCATGCAAAATGGAGGGTTGCTATTTGAGAGCACAAGATACAGATTTAAATCCCGAATTACTCTGCACTTCTTTGCAACCTGGCTTATGACACTGGAGCTCTATTCTAGTGTGGTGACCAAGTGGCTCCCCCTAGTTTCCCACCTTCCCTAGTAAAACAATTGCAGTGGGATATTTTTACAAGTTCCAGCTTACCACTTGTAATTGTATTGCACAATTTTCATTTGTTTTTTAGTAATTGCGGGCCACCATCTGTAAGGGCAAGAGCTTTTCTTAGCAGCTGCTAGCTACTTTCCACCTGTTACACAATAGTCTGGATCAATGGTGCCTTTGGGAATTCCTGGGTGGAGCAAAATGGCAAATCCACTGCTACCACAGGCATCAGCCCTAAAATACAAAAAGAAAAAGGGAAACAATATCGTACGCTGCAAATGCTAAGAATTCTTCCAATTTGCCCCCAGTTTTAGGGTGGTCCAAAGGTAACTCCCACACACCATTTAAGCCAAATGTTTTGTTGGAGAACTTTTAGTTCAATACTGCTACATTCTTGATTATACTCAGTAAGGTCAGACAAATGTCAGGGCCTTTTTCTTCTTGATCATCATTATTAATATATTTCCAGACAATGCAATATCTGGAGCTCTCTGGGAGGTATAGGATATCTCAAGCTCCATACATCTCACAAAACCCATAAATAAATAAATATTCCACTGAACCACATTTTGGCCGATTGCTTTGCATTTCCTGTTACCATATGTCACCCTTTCCCAACCAGGTTCCCTTCCAGATGTGTTGGAGCATTGGCCATTCTAGCTAAGAATAACAGGAGGTCTAATATAGTACATCTGGAGGACACCAGGTGGAGATGGCTGATGTATATCTTTTTCCATTTGAAAATTCTGGTTTTCCAGAAAAGGCCAAACTTCCATTGAGGTCCAGTTTTCACAACAGAGGCAGCATGATGTTGGGAATGAATGCTAGCTGTGTTCTCCTGCTGCCCAAGTTTTTACCAATAAGAAAAGGAAGCTGTGCAGTGAGAGTGAGAGTGAGAGTGAGAGTGAGAGTGAGAGTGAGTGAGAGAGAGAGAGAGAGAGAGAGAGAGAGAGATTGCCCTTTGCAAGACTGTTTCTTGGGACATTTCTGCAGTCTTTCCCCCTGATTCGACTGCCCAAGTGGGAAAAGCCTTTAGTTTTCAAACCTTTTAAATCATACCTTTTGATTTATGTTTTAAACAAGTTGGTTTAGGTTGTCCTGACAGCATCAGTAATTTTTATACAATGATGTTTTAAAAGACACTTAATCCAGAGTGTTTTTTTTTTATTTTTTAGTGGGAAAAATCAATATAGAAATTTCAAAGCTAGGTTGTTCGACCAATGAAGGGTCAGGATTTTTTTTTACCTGAGTGATGAATAAAATGATGTTCCAGGCTTTATATTCTAGCACTAGATAACCACAGTCAAAATTAGCAAAGCTGCTGCTGCCCTTAGTAGACACCAGACCACAATGAATGCCAGTTGATGGAGAACAAGAGTGGAAGGTGCTCTTGCACTCACACTCTGCTTGTGGGATTCACTTAAACATTGGTTGGCCAATGGGTTGGAGAAGCAGCGTACTGGGCTCTAGGCCTCTGGTATGGTCCAGTCTCACCTTCTAGCTCATTTGAAGAAAGCCAGAACATGTGTCTTTTGAAAATGTATTTTTTCTCCCATGCCATCTGATTTTCTTTTTTTCCCTTTTCCAGATGGATCGACAAATGTCAATGAACTCCAATATAATGGGAATGCAAGGTCCAAACCTCAGTAATCCGTGTGCCTCACCACAAGTCCCTCCAATGCACTCAGAAGCCAAAATGGTAACATGTTGAAAACACCTTGATTTTTATGCATTTAAAAATGTGATTCGAATCCCCCTTTTTCTGCGCTTTGAGGGCAATCTGAATATTTGATTTCTAGTTGTACAATTGTGTTTCTGCTATAAAGAGATTTAGAGCATGAGTGGCTCAACTTAGCCTCGCCAGCTTCTAAGCTTTCAGATCGTTGCTATAGCTCTTCAATTCAAGTTAAAGGATATTGGGCACTGGATAGTGATTGAGGATATTCTGATATTGTGGAGTGGAAGCAGGTGTAATAACATTTTGTCTGTGTTGCTGTATATGTGTAGGAATGGCTAGGTTGAAGTAATCTCAAGGATCTTGTTTCCAATTGCGTAGAGAGTTTATTCTTTTTGTAATATGTTTATGTAGTAGAGTTGCCATTTTTTGCTTGCTAAATGGTTTGCAAGTGGATGCTGGGGACTTGAAATTTGAAAATGTAGCAATGGCTAAATCAGTCTGTTTCAATCTGAGACATTTTTCACACGTTTGTCATTTTTTTACTGTTTCCCCGTGAAGATGCAGTTTCAATACATATTTTAATATATTTCTTCTTAAGAGTAACATTTTAAAATGTGTTTTAGAGCAGCTTTTTCAGTTAAATAATGCATTGGAACGTTCAGGCAGTGAGAAAACTGATTGATAACTAGATTCTGAATGGCATCTTTGTCCAGAAGGCATGGTACAAGTCTGTTTGCACTGGAATGTGCCAATATCTTGTACTACCAAACCCTGTCACCCCAACTGGGAGTGATGAAGGTTGTAGTCTTAAACATCTGGAGGGCCCAGGCCTCATGAAGTCTGCTTTAACTGTTATATATTATTATAAGTGGTAGTAGTATTGTATCCCACCTATTCCCAGTGATGAGGACTCAAGGTGGGTTACAACCTTAAAATTCCTATATTTAAAACATTAAAAATTGGAAAAGCTTTAAAGAATAAGATATTTAAAAAGATTGATACCTGATTGAAATTCCCTGGCCCTCATGGTTCCTATGAAATGTGACTTACACTATTACCATTTTTATGAGTGCAAGAGGAAGTGAGAGGGAGAGCTCTTTTCTGTCTTTGCTGCTGCTTCGGCAGACAGTTGCAAGGCTCCCTGGGCAGTGCCAGCAGCTGCTGCCAGGTTATGGCATCTTTTGCGCACTGTGGCTGGGAGCTTTGAGTAGACACTAGCTCCTTCTGTGTCTGCATGACGCTGTCTCTGATTGGTGAGCTATGGCACTATTTCCAAGAATATTCCAGTCATTCTTCAGTCACTTTTGTATTTTCAGCATGTGTGTTTTTCCATCCTTTTGGAGTGAGTGTTCTTTGAATATGGCACCCATTCTGCTGTTGCAGTGGTGGAGGATCTTTTGATTGCAGCATAGTGGGATTGCTCTTTAGGACTGGAATCCTGTAGGCACTGATTTGTAAGCGCCATTGAACATTTAGCACTTCTGTCTCTTTCTCTTGTCTATGATTTCATTTCATTTTCGGTTCATTTCTATACTGCCCAATAGCACAATTTAGATAAAAAACCCCAACGTACAATGTTGTACGTAATATAAAAATAGCATACAAACAGCTGACACATATCCAAACAATTTTAACAATAAAAAACCTCAGGACCTGGTTCAGAGTCTTATGTTCAGCTAAATGACTGAGAGTAGAACACATTCTTAACCTGATGCAGAAGAGAATAATGTAGCTGCCAGGTGGGCCTTGCTGGGGAGTTTATTTCATAATTGAGGGCCACCACCAAGAAGGCTCTGTACCTTGTTACTATTCTAAATTTCTTCAAAGCCTAGGAAGCCTCCAAGCAATGATAACCATATCCTCCAAAGCTGTTTTTTCTATTTTTTTATTATTCTTTTAATAACATTACAGTTTGAGAAATAACGAAAAAACATACACATGAAAATAATAAAGTATAGCAAAGAAACACCAAGGAATCTCGAAAAGCTACTACACAGAAAATCAAGTACAAAAAAATTGCTGCAAGTCAGTAATCATTATCCTCTCTACTCAGTCACATATTTTTTTTTTTTTTTTGGAACTTAGTTAAAATTCATTGAAATTTCTACTAAATTGCTGTTTGTCAATGAAGCCTCAATACAAATGTTAATCTCCAACACTTTTCCCCACAATTCCATTCCCTTTGCCCGCAACATTAATTTCACTGGCTGGTTATCTTTTTACATATTTAATTAGTGTTACCATTACTACTTATTCACTGACTTATTTTTCAAATCTTCTATAAATGAATTCACTTTTACTTACCATTTTAAGACGATTTTAACTCATCTTAATTCAACTTACTATAACAATAAAGCATCAGGACATGAGTTAATCTCTAACATTATTTTCAAAAATTCTATTCCATTTAAATGACTCTCCTTGCTTCAGCAGTGAAGCATCAGCATGAATCTAAGTCTCTGACCCCCATATCCTCCAAAGGTGTTGAAAGTTTAGAGCATCCTCATTTTGTACCATAAACATTTCTTAGTTTATTGGTCATCTGATTCAGTATAGAGCACCTTTCTACCTTCCAAGAGAGGGATAGTAACTCAGAAGGTGCCAGGTTCAGGCAAAGCATCTCTAAATAAAAGGATTAAGTTTCAGGTGATAGGAAAGACCTGAGTTTTTGAGATCCTGGTGAGCCACTGCCACTCAGAGTAGACTGTTATTGGTCTGGGTGACTGGAGAGTGCTACAACTCCAATCATCCCCAGTCAATATGGAAAGACTGGTATTGTGTATTTTGGAAAATGGTATGCTATTGTGGAAATATTAGCGTTTCACCAAATTTTAATGATATGTTTGTTTAATGTGCACAAATGCATAATATAATTCTTTTATATGTTACTGCTAGTAAAAGCAATTAAGACCAAGGTTTAATGACATCCTGTTATATGCTGGTTCTTGGAATTATCTCCTGGGGAGAGACTTGCAAAGGAACTCCTTTATAAATCTGAGCCTTTAGCCAAAATAAATTTTGTCAGATTAAAAAGTGATCCACTTAATTTCACATATTGAGGAACAGAATTCTCACCATATGTATCAGTAATTTCATTTTTAAAGCCTCTGAGTTTCATTTGAAAAGACCGAGGAAGGCAAAGTAACTGCAGAAACTTCAGCCTCTGAAAAAGATGCCAGTGTGGTGCTTTTTATTCTTCTTCAGCCAAGGAGTATTTTGCTTGGCTCAACATCGCTTGGATTTAAAGAAGGTGGGGGGGGGGGTTTGCCGGCAGCTTAATCCAGAAAGATTTAATAAGCTGTGCTGCAGATGCTGTTGCTTTTTGGCACATCACGATTACGGTATGGCACACAACAGAGAAAAACCCTTGACCACAGATTTTGCTTGGCTGATGTTGCCAACTCTGTTGGCCACATCTGCTCTTTAAGCCAACCAACTGAATGTTTACGGAGTGTGGTTTCAGCTGAGGTGTTAAAAAGGCTTGGGTTGGCTGCCTACCCAAAATTTATATTGAGGTAAAGATGTGACTGTTTGCGTCTCCCATAGCAGGGTATCCTATCTAACTGGAAAGCGAATACTTCCCTTCACCCCATGTGGTGAAGAACAGTAACTTCAAAAGTATACGTTGTGGCTTTCATTCAAATCAGCAATGAGCAGTTATTAGCATATGGTGACAATATGAAATGATAAGCATTGGACAGCCTGACTGCCCCCTTTAGAAATGCTTTTTGTACCAAAAGGCATCTCCCCTGATTTAGGGAGGTGGTTCCTTAATCAGAAAGTTAGTACCAGAATCCTGAAAAGAGGTCTGTTTGTTTCAATTTCCCACTTCCGGCAGAAATAACACGATTACGGTGCGGGCCTGTCCAGATGTTCTCCTGAGAAGGCCAGGGACTGACTTAGGAGCAAGACAGCCTTCCTTAACCACCCGGGCCCTCATGGTAGGACATGCTGCTGCAGTCTGCAAAGCAGGCACACACTTGGGAGATTGCTGGCTCAAACCTGCTTGTGATTTCCTAGTCCTCATGTATCAAAATAGGGATGGTCAGTGCAGTTGTGTTGAACCAGGGGCAAAATTGAGCATACGCCATACACCTCAAATTGGTTGGGAAGGTATGGGGCAGGATGCTCCAGGGATTCCATTAGGGACTGAGGAGGGCCCCAGTACTGAACTGGCACCCAGACACTGACGGCAAGCATGCAGCTGTCAGGGGAGGGAGGGAGTGGCTGGGCCATCAGGTGGCTGGGCCAAGTTGAGCGGCTAGTTTGAAGACCTGTGGCATGCTGGCCAAGCACAGGGACCTCAGGCATGGGCTGCAGGGGATGGGGGTTCAGCCAACCTGGCACTGGATGACTGAAGACTGTTCAGGACAGGATCCTTTCTTGAGCTGTGGCCACGGTGCCATTGAGGGAGTCTTCACTGAGCAGATGAGAGATGTCTGCTGCTCAGTGAAGATCAAGATGTTGCGGTGTATACCCAAGGCGAGCAGTGGCTGCTGCCCTGCAGTGTGATCAAGCACACAATCAAGTTGTGTTCTGATATCACTGGCATCCGATGACAACATTGGGTGTATGTATGGCGGTCTGTAAGCATACTTTTCATTGCATATCTGGTTTTCTATTAGTGTGATGCATCTTCTATAAATTTTATTATGACTCTTAACATTTGTTTATCTATTACAGTACATAAATTGACATGAAGGAATTGGCAGAAAAAAAAATAGAATAGTTTGGGGAAAACGTTAGAATTATTAGATGACATATATCAAAAGTTGTTCCTAAATAGTAAACGAGAAATTCCTGGTGGATTGTAACCTTAGCGTACAAGAGAAGCAATTACACAGAGAAATGCTTAGAACATGCTGCACCAGAATTAATTAGCTGGTTGTTGCTGTATATGAATAGATCTTGATAAATAATTTTTGGATAATACCTGTAACTTTTCAGGTCTATATATTAATTCATTGTTCTTTATCAGTTATAATTGCTTATTTTAAGCTGACAAGAAATGAGGAAAAACA